CCCCCCCCCCCCCCGAGCCCTCTTAGAACGGCTGCTAAATCTGCAGTTCTTCCATTTAGGAAGGATTGCAGGCTCTTTGTGGGAATTGTACCATTGATTATAGTAGTAAGTTGTTGTTGTTAGTTGCGAAGTCGTGTCCGACCCATCGTGATCCCATGGACAACGTTACTCCAGGCCTTCCTGTCCTCTACCATCTTCTGGAGTCCGTTTAAGCTCACGCCTACTGCTTCAGTGACTCCATCCAGCCACCTTATTCTCTGTCGTCCCCTTCTTCTCTTGCCCTCAATCTTTCCCAGCATTAGGCCCTTCTCCAGTGAGTCCTTCCTTCTCATTAGGTGGCCAAAGTAGTAAGTTAGGGGTCTGCAAACTTGGAAACTTTAAGTCTGCTAGACTTCAACTCCCAGAATTCCTCAGGCAGCCAAGCCAAGTTTGGAGACCCCTGCTCTAAGGCTAGAAGCAGACCCAAGGCATGAGAGGCCCTGTTGATGGGAGAAATGCAAGTGACAGGGAGAGCGGAGAGAATGACAGGAACTGGGTGGGGTGGGCAAGACTGGATGGCGGTGGAAATGATGGCATACGAATTGCAGCATCCGTGGCACAAACTTTGCTGCTTTGTAGGTACGCTGCGACATTGCATTTATGTACACAAAGGACAGAACTTGCAGCATAATGTCACAATGCACATTTTGAGGAAAATTTTGGATTCATCAGATCCTTCTGGCAGGAAGATAGCTATTCTCTGCTCCTCTTTGAGCAGGAGTCATCCGTGTGCATGTGTACACCCAGGGAGATGTTTGGCCTGACCCACCAGCTTGCAGTAATATTAAGCTCCTCAGTGCAATATCCATAAGTCTCAATTTAGTTTTATGATATTTGGGCTCCATAACCTATCTACCTTTTTGAATATGAATTCACCACCTCCCCAGCAGTAGCCATAGTGCCAACATCATGTTCCCAGAATTCTAAATGCATCCAATGGTGAAAAACACTCTGTGATTGACATACGCTTAGATATATTGTTTTTTTGTAAACCTCTATATTATTGATCTGGAAAGGTAGGTTTTTTATTTCAGCAGGGTTTTTTTTTCCTCCTGGCTAAATCTACATAGGATTAGCTTTGTCCTTTGCTCATAGTCCATCTAAGCTAGTGAATCTATTAAAAGGAGTACAGCAAGATGGCTTGTGAATGTTGCAAGATTCTGGTACCTCTTTCAATGAGACATACAGTTTTCTGTCTGTACCACCTCATACCTTGTGGGAATATCTTCCAGTCACCTGGAGCTTTCTCTCCTATGATAAAGGAGTTGGCTTTTTTGTCCTTTCTGTGCCTCTGCCTCATAGGTGTGTGTCCACTCTTTTCTTCCATTCCCCTCAGTATTAGCCCAGCTTCTGATTTTGGGGGGAGAGATAGATATACAGACAGACAGACAGACACTAGATAGGTAGGTAGGCGGGCGGGCGGGCGGGCGGGCAGGCGGACAGAAAATTCTTGGAGGGTTTTGCACTCACCCACTGGTATGGATTTTTCCCAGGAGTATTAAAACATGGATCAACTGATGATAATACTGAATTGACTTGCCTGGGCTCAAATGCTAGATAGGATTGGTTCTATTTAAACATGGATAGCAATTCCAGGATAGTTGACTAACTCAGAAATTTGGAAAAGACATCCTAGAAAAAAAACGGGCCAATTCCTCCTCTACTGGTGTCAAGAAATTGCTCGTATATATCAGTGAAGTTTATAGGAGTTAATCTTGACTCAAAGGGGTTTACATTTATGAGATAATGCTGCTTCTATCCTGGTGGAACAGGATACAATGGTCTGAAGTGCTGAGTTGGGTGTATTTTAACATCTAGTTTTATCCCAAGAATATAATAGTTACATTGTATGTATGTATGTATGTATGTATGTATGTATGTATGTATGTATGTATGTATGTATGTATGTATTCCATTGCGATCATTTAATGAACTGAGCATATATTTCAATCTGGCTAAAAACAATCTTAATTATATTAATTGGCTAATATTAATTTTCCTATTCATAGTGGCTGTGTGTCTCTTTTAGGTTTGAGGAAACTGGAAGCATTGTTTGCCTTCCTCATTACTATCATGGCTGTCACGTTTGGATATGAGGTAACGCTGCCTTTGTGTATATATAGATCTTTAAAATGAACAGTGCAGCTTTTGAATCTCTCATAAGCCTTTTCCTGTCTTTTGGGCAAAATACTCCCTCCAAAACTAAAGAAACATTTTGGGGCCAAACTTCATACCGCTGCATCGATGGGGTCTTTTATAATGGGACTCTGAGGTTTGCCAAGGACGGTGCTAATGCCAATGTCTTTTTTTTTCTCCCTTGGATGCCTTCTCATGTGTCTTCTGCAGTATATAACTGTAAAACCAGACCAAGGGCAGCTGCTCAAAGGGATGTTTATGCCTTATTGTGAAGGCTGTGGGACTGCCCAGCTGGAGCAAGCTGTTGGGATCGTAGGTGCTGTCATCATGCCTCACAACATGTACCTGCATTCTGCTTTGGTCAAGGTAAGTGTGGGTTTCCTCATGGAAGCCCTTTGCAGCCATGTGTTCTCTTTCTAATGCCATAGTGCAGAGATGGGGAACTATGGCCTTTTTATGACTTGTGGGCTTCAAATCCCAGAATTCCTGAAGCCAGTAGGACTTCTGGAAGTTGAAATCCACAAGTCATAAAACGGCCATAGTTCCCTACCCCTGCTGTAGTGTGAAATCACAGTCAACATGCATGCCCTTGTTTCTTCTTGGACAATGGCCGTGCTTTCACCACAGTTGGAAATTCCATGAGCGGGTTTTTCCTTCAGAATTTCCAGCCCATGAAGAGCACTAGAGTAGCAAAGAGAAACTCCTGGTTCTTCTTAAAATGACTCCCTCTACAGCAGAGGTTCCACAAGCCTCATTAATGTAGATTTGCTTGAGAGCCAGTTTGGTGCAGTGGTGAAGATGCTGTCCTAGAGACCAGGAGACTGAATTGTAGGCTTCCCTTAGGCATGAAAGCCAGGAACTTTGGGCCAGTCACTTTCTCTTTCAGCCCAACCCACCTCACAGGGTTGTTGGTTTGGGAAAAAAATAGGAGGAGGGAGGAGTATTAGGTATGTTTGCCACCTTGAGTTACTTGTAAAGTAAAAAAAGCAGGGTAAAAATCTAATAAATAAATGAAGGTAGTTGAAGATAGAAGGGAGAAGGTCATACTTCAATGAAGCTGCATTTTACTGGCTGTGTGAATCGGATTTTTCTGTTTAGTCTCGACAGGTGAATCGGGCCAAAAAGAAGGAAGTTTCTGAGGCCAACAAGTATTTCTTCATTGAATCCTGCATTGCCCTCTTTGTCTCCTTCATCATCAATGTCTTTGTTGTCTCAGTCTTTGCCGAAGCTTTTTATAAAAAGACAAACCAAGATGTGGTGAGTTTCTTCTTTTCTTTTTTCATGTTACATTGTTATTGTTGTTAGTTGCGAAGTCGTGTCCGACCCATCGCGACCCCATGGACAACGTTCCTCCAGGCCTTTCTGTCCTCTACCATCTTCTGGAGTCCATTTAAACTCACGCCTACTGCTTCAGTGACTCCATCCAGCCACCTCATTCTCTGTCGTCCCCTTCTTCTCTTGCCCTCAATCTTTCCCAGCATCAGGCTCTTCTCCAGTGAGTCTTTCCTTCTCATTAGGTGGCCAAAGTATTTGAGTTTCGACTTCAGGATCTGGCCTTCTAAAGAGCAGTCAGGGTTGATCTCCTCTAGGACTGACCGGTTTGATCGCCTTGCAGTCCAGGGGACTCGCAGGAGTCTTCTCCAGCACCATAGTTCAAAGGCCTCAATTCTTTAGCGCTCAGCCTTTCTTATGGTCCAACTTTCACAGCCATACATTGCAACTTGGAAAACCATGGCCTTGACTATACGTACTTTTGTTGGCAGGGTGATGTCTCTGCTTTCATGTTACATTAGTAAGCAATAAATGCTCCTTTATATTTTCTAAGTATTTTTTTTAAGTAATGGATTGCAAGGTTTATTTTAAATACTTAAAAAAAATCCTTACTTAATCTTTTTTGTTGCAATTTTAAAAAAAGTAATACAGAGAAAACAGAAAAAAACAATCAAAAGAAAAACAGTAGTACAGATGGTCCTCAGGTTATGACCACTTTGTTCAGCAACCATTCAAACTTAACAATGGCGCTGAATGAGGAGGACCTAAAATGGGTTCTGGCCATCACAGTGTCCCATGATCATGATTTCTGACATTCCCTACTGGCTTTCGACATGCAAAAAATCAATGGGGAAGCCATCAGGAAGTTGGAAATTGCAGTTATCCAAGGCCTTTGCTTAGTGACCCACATAGTACTCATTTAATGATGGCAACCAGGATTAGAACTGTTATCCCTAAGGTATGCAGTCACATGATAGCATGCCTGCATGGCTTAGTGACAGCAACTCCATCCCAAATTGCCAGCGATATTGCAATATCGAAACAAGTAAAGAAAAAATTAAATAGAAAAAAAAATAACGTACCAAACTGATATAACTAATTATCCCAAATTCATTTAATCAGTTCTTAATGTATGAAATTATCCATGAAATTGTCTATTTTTGTAAAATATAATAGTATAATATACCAAAGAGAAACATCCAGTATTATTATCATTTTTTGCTTAGTAGAAATAACTTTTTCAAAGATGATTTACATATTTCTTAAATTCAGTGTTTGATATCCAGCGTAATGCTACATTTCCAATCTCTCAATATAATTCCTTTAGCTATTCCCCATGCCCAATATAAGCAACATTCTTCAAAAATGTTCAGGTTCCCTAATTTTGGAATATTATTCAAAATGACATTGATCTTTAATTTGAAAAGATTCCCCCAGACAGCCACTTTTATATGTATGCTGTTTTTTTTAAAAAAAACAAACAAACACCCCCCCAAAAACGGACATGACCAAATCATATGAATTAATGTACTTTCCAATTTCTTAAGTGGTTCTTTCCTTTCCTGCTTAGTTACTGCTTCCCTTCCTTCAATCCAGCTTTGTTCCTCCATTTTGCCTCTCTTGCCAATGTTGTTATAACTTTTCTTTACATCATCTGTATCCTGTTTCCTTCTTCATTTTGTTTGCACTTCTGATTTAAAAGAGGAGGATGAGTTGTGCATATACTCCTACGTTTCCGTGTGTTTGCGGGATTTGTATGTGAACCTCAGCTTTTCTTCCCCAGTTTTTAGGAGGGAGAATTAGTGGAGAGAATTAAACCACTACAGCAAGTACTAAGGATAATATAATAGAACTCCCAGTAGGATTATCAGCTCCATGTAACCAAGACAGGATGCTTTGCAATAAATTAAAAGCAATAAAATTTGTGGTGGAAACAAGTAATCTGTCAAACACTCTTTGTCTCCCCTTTCCCCTTGCTTGGAAGGTAGCACCTGTCATATTCCCTTTTTGCTTGGGCTGGTCTTTCAAGACCAGTGAACAGATAAAAGAGCTTGAGGCTATACTGGAAGGACAGCCTCTTGTGTGTTTCAAGTCTCCTTGAGTGCCAGCAGTTCCTCCTCCTCCTCCTCCTCCTCCTCCTCCATCATCATCTCTATCTCCATTACAGGAGGGAAAGGTCAATGTAAACCAGAATTCTTGGTTGTTATTCTTTTAAAACAGTTTTGTGCCACAGGGGTCTCTTAGTTGTAAAACAAAATGTCTACTTGTATGTTCGCAGCATGACATCTGTGCAAATAAAAGCTTTGCCCAAGCTGTGCTGTTTCAAGCAGATAATAGCACCCTGCAAGTGGACATCTACAAAGGGGTGAGTGAAAAGCTTCACATGTTCAATTTAGCAATAGTTAAAAGTTCCATGTGTCACGGCTCTTGAATTTCCGAATCAGCCTTTGAATACCCTAAAGATATTTCTAAAACTTCTAAAACTTTACATTGGGAGGAGGGCAAATTCAGGTGGATTAGTATGTAGAAAAAGTACCTAAATCTACTAATTCAAAGATGGGCAGTACTGATGGATTTCCCAGTATCCTTTATCACTCTGGCCCTGCTAGCCAGAGTTGATGGGTCTTTCTGGTCTACTCTTGAACTGACTGTGCTGTGCTGAGGGGGGGAGGGCTGATAACAGAGTAAGTGGGAAGATGAAACAGATCTGTGAAAAGATCACAAGCTCTTCCATTTCTGCCTTCATTAGCACTCCAAAGCAACTGAACCGAATGGAAGTTCTATCAGGAGACAAACATCTATAAAATAATAATAATAAAGTTGGAAGGGACCTTGGAGATCATCTGGTCCAACCCCCTGCTCAGGCAGGAAACCCTATACCATTTCAGACAAATGGCCGTCCAGTCTCTTCTTAAAAACTTCCAGTGTTGGAGCATTCACAGCTTCTGGAGGCAGGTTGTTCCACTGGTTAATTGTTCTCACTGTCTGAAAATTTCTCCTTAGTTCTAGGTTGCTTCTCTCCTTGATTAGTTTCCATCCGTTGCTCCTTGTCCTGCCTTCAGGCGCCTTGGAGAATAGCTTGACTCCCTCTTCTTTGTGGCAGCCCCTGAGATACTGGAACACTGCTATCATGTCCCCCCTCGTCCTTCTCTTCATTAAACTAGACATACCCAATTGAAGCAGCCGTTCCTTCAATAAAGTAGCTCCAGATGTTTCAGTACCAAAATTGGCGCTTTAGTAGTTACTTGCCTTCCGGGTATCTCTCTCAAGATCAAGAAAATATTTTTCAGTATAAGGCATTTGTGAGCCTTCTGTCCCTACCATTCTGCAAAAGGCCATACTGTAGTCAGGTTATTTTGTTAGGTTCTCCATCCAGAGGAGCAATATAATTATCTGGGATGGGCTTATGAGCAAAGTGTTGTCCTTGGCCATGGTGATATTTTTGGGAAATAAGCATGTGTACAGTAACTATAGCGTTCAGAGTCAAGTCTCTCTGAGTAAATTGGCCCTTGCTAATCCAAACAGTGATTTCACAAAGTGTCACTTTGCATTAGACTGCTGACATAGAAGGCTTAATCTAAGGTTTACAGCTTCATTTTTTAAAAGAACTCTTTTGTGTTTTAGGGAGTAATTCTAGGTTGTTACTTTGGCCCTGCTGCTCTCTACATCTGGGCTATTGGCATTCTTGCTGCAGGACAGAGCTCAACAATGACAGGAACTTACTCTGGACAGTTCGTTATGGAGGTATTTTAATCTTTTAAAATGTTGATTTACATTTGACTTGTCTTCCCAGTCCATATCCCTATAGGTTCTGCAAAATTAAAGTGATAGGAATCTAAGGATGTTGTCCAAGTGGCTCAGTTCCCAGATGCCACAGCCAGGAATCTTTGTGGTATGGACACTTTCTTTGTGAGAAAAATTGTATGCTGACATTTTCCCTTTTCAGTTGGGCAGTTCCATATGATCCTTAAGCAATGTATTTGTCCTACCTCCCTGACTGTTGTGGTGTCTTGTTTTGTAAACAGATTTTTATGCAGCGACCAAGTGATGCTGAAAACTATCATTGTTAAACTGAAGCAAGGAAATAAGAGATGAGCAACTTCAGAAGGATTGGGAGCACGTCTATTAAAGCTGCAGAGCTTAGGATGTGATTTCTAAAAGGGGCTTCAGCGTGCGTCAAGACTGTGGGGATAGCATCTGTCTGTAGTTCCTTCAAAAGCTAATTGTGCAAAACTAGGAGAAGATACAGCTGCTTTAAAGGGTTGTTGACTGATGCTACCTCCATGTTCCCAAGCACGCAAAAGGACCTTTGGAAATGGAATCCAAAGTGTTACCCAGCCCTATATCTGGGATATGGGGCTGGATCAGTGATGGGATTCAGCCGGTTAACACCACTTTGGCAGAACCGGTAGCTAATTTTTTGTTGCCCAGGCCCAGAATGGGCTTCCGGAAGCGGCATCCACACAGAGAACCGGTTGTTCACATATTTGAATCCCACCACTGGGCTGGATGAGGGGTATCTTTTCAGGCAATTAAAGGACACCATGCTGGGTAAAATACCCTCTTTAGATTAACCTGTGGAGGAAATGCCATTCAAGTGTTTTCCTTATGACACCAGTTTAGGTCTGCCATTCATCAAATCTCTTTGCCTTTGTATAAGTTCAGTTGTTCATAGGGTTCCCAAAGACTTCAGCCTACCATTTCCCTGGTCCTGTGCCCGCTTCACTTCTGCTGACATGTGCCCAACTAACAATTGCCAATCCAAAGCAAACTACCTACTTTAGTTTTCTGTTAATTAAATTAATTAATTTGGAATTCAGTTTGCAAAGAATTTCCATAATTAAAATAGAATAAATTAGGTATTTAAACAAATCAGGAGGGTCAGACTTAGCAGTAGAGTGGTTTTATGTATAGGTCTGATCAGCAGGAAAGGCAGATAAGACTGGGGAAAAGTCCCATTAAAATCCCCCCAAAACTGCTACCTGCCAAGGCTGACAGCCCTGGATCAGATGGACCAGAAGGAGACCATTTGCTACAATCCTGCATTTCTATTTTTGTTAGGTTGAAACAGGTCACACATAGCTAAATTTCCTTACGCCTTGGTCAAACCACTGATAAGTGGTCAAGTACACCATCTGGCTTTGATGTAATGTCCAATAAATTGAAAGTATTTAGTATTATTTAAGGGCAGGTTCCCATTCTTCATAACAAACCCACCCCCTCAAAGTAGGTTAGGATTAGGCAGTATCAATAAAAGGATCTGGGTACATTTGCCATTGGACCATAGGTAGGGTTGATTCCCTGCAATTTATTACTGTGAAAACAAGCTGCAGTAAGTTTATTTGCCCCCAACTTGCTGTTTGCTGATGAACCGTGAGTCTCATTTAGAGATCTGCAAAAAAAAAATTATCAACCTGGAAATAGAACATTCTGGAGAACTCTACAATGTTCCTCTTCTCTCCGCCGAACCCCCTCCCAGTTTCCAGGGGCAATTTGAGGGTTTCCAGAAGGAAGTCCTCAGTACTGGAAGCAGCTTTGGATGAAACAGAATGGACTTCAGGACCAGATCCAATTAATTTTAGTTTAGAAAATTTAAATTCTGGACACTATCAAACTGCCTCCTGCAAGAAATGATCCAGGAGGAGAGTGGGCATAATATGGAAGAAATCATTCCAATGTTCTTCAGAATTTTCAATTCCTGGATTGGAGAATTTTGCATATCTCTAGCACTCATGTGTTTCAGGCCTTATTATCGAACCCAACATTGTTTAGAATAAGCTGTGCTTAGGTTTAATTCCAAAAAGGGTGCAAATGTTGCAGCTGAATCTTTTTCCAGCCACTGCAGAGAGTTCTGAAGTGTGTTGCACAGCAAGATGGTTTGTGTTCTCAGTACAATTCATTTGACAACTGCAAAAATAACTGCTTGAGGCGGAACAAGGCCTGTTTGGACCTTGCCAGGGACCGTTTGATTTGAATATATATTTTATTCATTTAACTTTATTTGCCTCACTCTAACCCTATTTTACCTCAACCTTAGTTTATAAATTTAATTCTGCTATTTTGGTTAATAACTGCAAAAGTACTTTGACTTTGACTGCAGAAAATAAAAGAGGTTGTGAAATTTGTAGTCGGACATGTTTTCTGCCCCAGCAGGAGATACTACTTTTCCTCAGTATTTCAGTAGACCGTGTCTCTGTCTGAATGGTTCTGATCTCTTCCTTGTTTTCAGGGATTCCTCAATCTGAAGTGGTCGCGGTTTGCTCGTGTGGTTCTAACCCGCTCCATTGCCATCACTCCAACTCTTCTGGTTGCCATTTTCAAAGATGTGGAACACTTGACCGGCATGAATGACTTCCTCAATGTCCTCATGAGTTTACAGGTAGGGACTCTAATTAGCCGTGGTTCTTCTCTCCAGAACAGGGGTAGGCAACCTTGGCTCTTTTATGACTTGTGGACTTCAACTCCCAGAATTCCTGAGCCAGCACGGCTCAGCTTGGAAACTCTCCCTTTTCCCTCAGCATGGCTGGCTCAGGAATTCTGGGAGTTGAAGTCCACGAGTCATAAAAGAGCCAAGGTTGCCTACCCCTGGCCTAGAAAAACAACAGTAGGGGTTTCATATGGCCGGCAAGGCAGAGAATCTAGATCTATATATATATATATCTAAAAAGGATAACTACTACAGGTAGTCCTCAACTTATGACCACAACTGAGCCCAAAATTTCTGTTGCTAAACGAAACATTTGTTAAGCGAGTTTTGCCCTGTTTTATGATTTTTCTTGCCACAGTTGTTAAGTGAATCACTGCAGTTGGTAAATTAGTAACACAGTTGTTCAGTGACACTGGTTTCCCCATTGATTTTGCTTGTCAGAAGGTCACAAAAGGGGATCACATGACCCCGGGACACTGCAACCGTCGTAAATATGAATCGGTTACTAATATCTGAATTTTAATCGTGTGACCGAGAGGATGCTGCAAATGGTCATAAATGTGGAAAATGGCCATAAGTCAACTTTTTTCAGTGACATTGTAGCTTTGAACGGTCACTAAATGAACTGTTGTAAGTCGAGGACTACCTGTACTGTCAATCCAGTGAAGGATGTTTGGCAAGTAAATGCAAATACTTTGAGGCAGTCTAACAATACTAGCCTCATTTTTTCCCCTGCATAGAAACAAGGAAAGAGTGAATTCAGTGATATTAGAATGGCAACAAAAAAAACCTTACTTAAAATCAATGGCTCACCCAAATGATTCTGCTGAAAACGTCCTGAAGATCCTATTTTTTTTTTGTCACTTAAGGATTAAAGTCTTGTGTTGGCATGCAATGGGATATTTGAGGGGTCCTTGGTGATCTCTGGGCTTGGTTGCTTTCTTGCAGACGTTTCATTACCCAAACTAGATAACATAATCAACTAGAACTGATTAGCACTGATGAGGTTACCTAGTTTGGGTAATGAAACATCTGCAAGAAAACAGCAAAGCTCAGAGATCCACCAAGGACCCCTCATTTCAACGCTGAACTACAAATATTCTCCTTTAAGGGGATATTTTTCATGGCCTCCTATAGCTGTTGACTTTGCTCTCCAGAATTACGTTAGAAATCTTATCTAAGCTTATCCAGGAGTATTAGTTTGGTTTTCTTGGGCTCATAGCTGGAAGGGATTTGGGTCCTTAGAAAATCCATCTCATGTTGATTTTGTTTACATCAGGGCTACATTATGTGAAGCAGAGAGATCATTTTATTATTTTGTGAACTAGGAAGGGGTTGGTTTTTTTCCCCCACTCAGGGATGGCTGCTGCCACTTGCAGATTAGAGCTGAGAAATGGTGTAGGAAAATGCAAAACAAAAAAACGCTAGGATTGGGCTACGCTGACTTGTAAGCCTTGCATGAGAGCCTTCTTTTGTAGCTGTTCTTCTGTTAAGAAGAGGAGTTTTTTTTCAATGAAATTAATAAATCAGTGAAAATGCAGTTAATTCTTGATAAGTAATTAAATTTGATGAATCAAGAACATTTGGACCCTCCTTAAGCATACAATATATCAACTGCAAGTGGAAATGTCTTTTCAGCGGTTTGGGAATTATCAACGCTAATCATAAGACATTGGCTGTCCTGTGGTGAAACAAGGCTTGTGAATAGCCTAATGCGCCAAACCAAAGCTAGATCTTAATTGGGAATCATTCTAGTTGAATTTCTGCTTTTTTATGCCTGCCTTTTCTAAGGCAATAAACCATAACTATGGCAAATCCGGTTATCTTCCTTTCCTGTTGCAATTTTCTCAAATGTTTATTTCCCAGTAGGAAGCTTTCCCAGCTTGTAATTTTGAAGCCATTTAATACTCTCACTTCATTATTCATTCTCCGCTTTTATGTTCTTTGCTTGAACGTAGAAACATACATACTGAACTTCTGATTCATATTCAAAATCTAGAGCTAAGCCATTCCCAACATGAATAGAATAGAATAGAATAGAATAATCTTTATTGTCATTGTGTACCCCACAACGAAATTAAGTGCTGTCCACAATGCACACTTCACACAAGTAAAAACTACAGGTAAAAAAACCCCATATATTATATACACACATCCTTCACATTCTATTCACCATTGCGCTGCCCCTAATATGTTGCACTATACAGTAGTGCTTAATATGATTACAGCTCTGGCGTTAAAAATTATTTTTCGTCGGGGGGGGGAAAGGAGAGGGCAGCCAATAATCCTCCGGGTGATGGTAATGACCCTCTGGAGCGCTTTCCTATCTGCTACTGTGTAGTTGGCAAACCACACACAAATGCAATAGGTTCGAATGCTCTCTATGGAGGAAGAGTAGAAGGTCACCAGCAGTTTTTCATTCAGTTGTTGTTTCCTGAGAAGTGTCAAGAAATATAATCTCTGCTGGGCCTTCTTAACCAGTGCTATATCATGAGCAGGTCAGGTCCTCCTTTATGTTAACACCCAGAAACCTAAAGCTGGCCACCTGCTCCACACAGTCTCCGCTGATGATAGGGGCTGAATGTCTGATCTATTCCCTCTATGATTTACTATAAGCTCCTTGGTCTTAGTGGTGTTGAGAACAAAATTATTGTCTCTGTACCATAAGAGCAACCGCTCCACCTCATCCTGATAGGCAGACTCATCCCCCTTGGAGATAAGCCCCACCACTGTTGTATCATCTGCAGATTTAACAATAATATTGCTGGGATGAGTGGGGGTGCAGTCATAAGTGTGGAGCAGGGGTGTCAAACTGCCGGCCCGTGGGCCGGACGCGTCACATGGAAGCCACGCCCACCTCATTGACGGCAATGGCAAAATCGGCTCAATACGTTGCGCGACGTCACGTGACGCCGCGAGTTTGACATGCCTGGTGTAGAGGGTGTAAAGTAGGGGGATCAAAACACAGCCCTGTGGGGAGCCAGTATTAAGAATAAGGGCTGAGGAGATATAGTTGCCTAATCTAACTCTGAGAGCGGCCAGCAAGGAAGTTCATAATCCAAAGGCAGATTGAATGTGAAAGTCCGATGGTTGACAAGTTTAGACATCAATGTGTATGGAAGAATTGTGTTAAATGCAGAGCCAAAATCTACAAAGAGCATCCTTACCTAGGTCCCCCGCTGCTCCAGATGAGTCAGAATAGTATGGAGAGTGAAGGCTATGGCGTCTTCTGTAGAAGATTTGAGATGAGGGATGAGGGAGAGAGAGACCACTCATTGTTTGATTGGGGAGTGCTGATCTTACCAGATTGGAGCTATGTTGCCTTTATTACTAAATGTTTTTCCTAATATTAAACAAAATTTACTCTTCTGTAACTTAAAAACCATTAGGTCCAATCCTGTCCTCTTTCTGAGTTGCTACATTGAACTACCTGCCTAATTGGAAACTGAGTAATGCTGCTATTTATTTCTCCTTCCCCCGTGTCTTGTTCCCCATTGTCCGAGGTCAAAAAAGTATGGCAGAAGCGTCTGACGTGACGTGTTAACCTTGGAAAGAGCTTTGGGAACTTTGGAAATAGAAAAGAAATCTGAGTGTGTCCTCACTATAGGATGGATTGTCCACCCTTAAGTGCCATCTGTATCACATCTTATTGCCATGGTTGTCTATATGCAGCCATTTAGTTTGATGGGGGCCTTGGTGTAAAGGGACAGTAGTGCTTCTGTTCAGTTCTTAGAAGATGCTATATTCAGCCCTGAAAAACCTTCAGCAGTTAATGTGAGAAAAAAGCTTGAGTGAATAAGTCATGTTTTGGAATCGTTTTCAGCTTTTTGCATTTACAGTTCATTACTACACCAGCTTTTACTTTGTATACAGATAACAGAAGACCCCTTTCTGGTGCATAATTTCCTTTTCTTCCTTTCCAGCTACCCTTTGCTTTAATCCCAGTGCTCACGTTCACAAGTCTGCGTCCAGTGATGAATGACTTTGCCAATGGCCTGTAAGTATGAAGAAAGACACATGTGTTGTCCATATCTGGAATGTATTGAGTGTTATATTTGATAAGCTTAGCTGTTTCCTTAACACACATCTCTGACCCTTTTTTTTTTCAAGCACGGTCTGCAACGACCACCTATGTTTTAAGCACATTGTGTCCATTCCAGGAGGTAGACCAGACTTAATACCAAAGTCACGAATATTAAAACTAGTTTTATTATGGTAACAGAATCTTGCAATTCTGAATGTACCTCCCCTCTCACTTTATCCTAAGACAGTGATGGCGAACCTTTTAGAGACCGAGTGCCCAAACTGCAACCCAAAACCCACTTATGCATCGTCGAGTGCTGGGTGGGTGTGGCCCATTGACTCAATTTCAACTTTACAAGATCTTTTTTTTTTCTCGCAAGACGTTGAAATTGACTAATTGAACCTTTTTTTTTTTTTTTTTTGCACACAGCGGCGGAGGCCTAAAGTGAAAAGGTTTTATAAAACCCAGCTGAAGGGCTGGGGCGACGGCGTGCGTGCCCACAGAGAGGGCTCTGAGTGCCGCCTCTGGCACCTGTGCCATAGGTTTGCCACCACTGTCCTAAGAGAACTGTGTGTGTGAGAGAGAGTGTGTTTGTGTCAAGTCTGAGATTTTTTTTCCAATTACATTCCCAGTTTGGACCCCAATTCCTCTTATCTGACCATTGCTTTAGTGAAGGTGTTCCTCAGTGTTATTCTCACAGCCCATTACACACTGAGAGTGCACTTCCTTTCTGTTTTCTATCTGCCAACGGCAGAGTAGAGTTTGTATTATAACTAGCATGAACACCAGAATCTATTCATTTGCAATTATTTTTCAAAAGATGGAATCTAGACTAGCAGATCATACACTAGCGCAAAATCTGCAGATGGATGCTTCTTCTTTTTCAGGGTAAATATCACCCCGAATCTGCACTTGGCTGTAGATTTTATGACTTTTTGCAGATTGGCAATTGACATGCAGGATTTCTAGATTTGCTATATAAACATCTTAGAGGATCAAAATGCTTTTCAGTAACAGAAGAAAAGCTTGAATCCATGCCTAACTATCTCATGCCTAATATACAGAAAGAAACATTTGCACATTTGTTATAGCAATAGCACTTAGACTTATATGCCGCTTCACAGTGCTTTACAGCCCTCTCTAAGCGGTTTACAAAATCAGCCCATTGCCCCCAACAATCTGGATCTTCATTTTACTGACCTTGGAAGGATGGAAGGCTGAGTCAACCTTGAGTCGGGCAGAATCGAACTGCTGCCAGTAATTTAGCCTGCAATACTGCATTCTAAGCACTCCACCACCACGGCTCGTCCTTATGCTTTTGCCAAAGATTGCATTATTTTCCTACTGTAACCATTGCAGAGTTTCAATCCACAGACTTCTAAGTTATTTGGTGTGTTTTTTAAAATCCCACAAGGCACTGATTTCGGCAGCTTTATTTATTGTGCAATTTATTTTGGAAACATCGGCTAAAAATAGGAGTGCAAGATTCCTGGGCGATGAAGTGCCGAGTGACAGTGCAATTTGTTTAGCATGCATGAGGATTGTATCTGTGTCTTAGGACTGGAAGACCTGAAAGCAAATATATCAAATATCTAGACTGCCAGCCCGCGGGACAGATGCGTCATGCCGAAACCGCGCCCACCCCAGCTCCGGCAATGGGGAAAAAGTCACTAGACATTGCGACACATCATGTGACGTGGCGAGTTTGACACCCCTGATCTAGACGGTTGTGTTTGTCAGGGGAAATGTACTGAATGATTGAAGGTTTATAACTAAATGTTGAAAAAAAAATCAAAGCAAAAAGTTGAATTTGGGTACATCTTTTAAAGATAGGGAAATGTTTGAAGAAGATTTAAGACATGCAAGTGCTTTTTAGCAACATATGTACAAGTAGTCCTTGACGTATGACCACAGTTGAGCCCAAAATTTCTGTTGTTAAGTGAGACATTTATTAACTGAGTTTTGCCCCATTTTACAACCTTTCTTGCCACAGTTGTTAACTGAATCACCGCAATTGATAAATTAGTAACTCGGTTGTTAAGTGAATCTGGCTTCCCCATTGTCAGAAGGTTGCAAAAGGGGATCACCTGACCCCAGGACACAGCAACCGTCATAAATACAAGTTAGTTGCCAAGCACCTGAATTTTGATCACATGATCATGGGAATGCAGCAAAGGTTGTGAAAAACGATCATAAGTCACATTTTTCAGTGCCATTGTAACTTTGAACGGTCACTAAATGAACTGTTGTAAGTCCAGGACTACCTGTAGTATGCTGCAAAGAATGAGGATTTATCGTTTTTGCCCACTATGCTGTGTGGAAGCGAGGGATGGGTACGTCAGAGCAACTGAAATTCAGTCAGAAATGAGGAACTTAAATTGTGTATATATGTTTGTCAACAGTTAGTCCTAAGTAGTTATTCTCGATCCATTTTCTTCTCTTCGTAATTTTTTTTTTTTTTTGGTCTTTTAGGGGCTGGAAAATCGCTGGGGGAATTCTCATTGTGATCATCTGCAGCATTAACATGTACTTTGTGGTGATCTATGTGACTGCCCTAGGACAAACAGTGTTGTATGTATGTGCTTCAATTATCAGCGTTCTCTACTTGGCCTTCGTGGCATATCTGGTGAGTTAGTAATGGCTTACATCAACGGTTCTCAACCTATGGGTCGCGACCCCATTTGGGGTCGATCGACCATTTCACGGGGGTCGCCAAGCAAGGCTATCAGCCATTTTTTTCCCCTTTTCCGGCGGGTGCCTTACCTCCCTTGAGCTGGGCCAGCTGGTGGTCGGCCTGCTCCGTCTCTGCCGCTTGCCAGCTACGCCTCGGCCGGCGCAGGGGGCGGAACCACGCATGCGCGGTGCTCCCGGGCAGGGAAAGTCCTCGACTTACGACCGGTTGGGTAGTCCTCAACTTACGACCGGTTTAGTCCTCGACTTACGACTGGTTGGGGGGGTCGTGGCATTAAAAAGGTTGAGAACCACTGGCTTACATGCTCTTGCTTTCCTCACAGGGGTTTTCCCATGTTCTCTTAGCAGGGATTTTTCTGTTTTTAACAAAGGCAGCGGTCAGACTGGGTCATAAGAGCTGTAGAATAATCCCTTGGATGAGGCCAGGGCCCATTTTTGAGGATGGTGTTTGGTTTCTCACAGTAGCCAACCAGATAGGAACCAACTTCCAGAGGAGGTAGTGGGTCAGTCACCAGCAACTGAGTTTAAACATACTTGGGATAAACACGTGTCTATCATCTGAAATTAATTTAAAAAGAAAACAAAAACAAACAAAACACTCAAAGGGCAGGTTCAGTGGTCCACTGGGTCTTTTTCTGCCATCAGTTTTCTATGTTTCTATGTTACCTGTCAGGTACCTCTGCCTTGCTGTGGTCCACTGCCACCGGTACTTGAAGTAACACTGAGTCAGCCAGTAAGCAGCCATCCCCCACAGACCTGTACTCCATGAATTCACTCAGTCCTCTATTTTAAAGTCAAGTTAGTGATCATCGCCATATCCTATATCTTATGGCAATGAATTCCCTAGGTTAATAGTGCATTCCTTTTTTTCTGTTTTAGCTGTCCGTTCAATCAGTTTCATTAGATGACCCTTATATACTGAGAGAGGGAGTTAACAATTATCTTGTCCATTTTTTTCCATAATGTAATAAACCTCAATCAGCTCCTCTTCTGTCAGCTAATTTTGAAGCTAAAGAGTCCCAAACAATCCACTCTTTTCTCATAAGGCATGTGTTGGAGTCCCCTTACACCAGGGGTCTTCAAACTTGGCCCTTTTATGACTTGTGGACTTCACCTCCCAGAATTCCTCAGCCAGCGTGCTTGGCTGAGGAATTCTGGGAACTGAAGTCCACAAGTCATAAAAAGGGCCAAGTTTGAAGACCCCTGCCTTACACTTTTTCTAGCTCAAATACATCCTTTTTAAAAAATGATGCACAGACCTCTACCCAGTATTCCAGATACGTTTGTATAAGGGCATTATACATGTTGACAGTTTTATTTCCCTAATGAACAAAAGTATGAAATATGTGGGGGGGTTTTTAGAGCTGTTGTTCATTGAATGGTCCCCTTGACCCATCTACTGTGGCTCCAAAATAGCTATAGGCAGCTTAGTTCCATCAATGGTTGTGTGCAGTTGAGGCAGGAATTTTTTTTTAATATAAATTTTTTTGCAGCCCATTTTACCACAGGATAATTCTGGGCAGTTATCTGAATATCATTTTACACTTATATAAAGTTAACCACATCTTCCATTTGATTGTCCATTCACCTAGTCTACAAAGAATTTTCTGAAGTTTGTAGTCAGAGTTATCTCAAACGTGTTTTTTTTATAAATATTTTATTAATTTTCTAGTTTTACAATCAAATACTTAATAGACAATGTGTTGTCTGGGTCCATTAGTAATTCAGTGGTATATGTTAACTTCTTCAATCTAGGTGCTTTTTCACAAGGCAACTGGACTTTGTTTTTTCTTTGAAGATGTTTCACTTCTCATCCAAGAAGCTTCTTCAGCTCTGACTGGATGGTGTAGAATGAAAGGATTTATACTCCTTGCAGACAGCTGATCATTTGCATTCTTTTAGAGAGTCATTGAGGCCACCTGGAGGTTTATCTGTGTTAACAGGGTCACCTGAGTAGTGCAAATGGATGTGGGGCATTCTTGGAACTGCTGAAAGGATGTGTGGTAGACTGGAGATAGATGATGTCATGTCCCATTTGCATCATGAAAAAGTTGCCTCATGAAAAAGCACCTTTGGGATAACTATGACCTGGATGACTGAGAATCTCCATAGACATTCTTAGTCAAAGCCTGTTGGCATTGATACCCTTCTAAACTAAAGGATAGCAGTGTTCAAATAATGCACTAGGGCAGGGGTAGGCAACCTTGGCTCTTTTATGACTCGTGGACTTCAAACTCCCAGAATTCCTGAGCCAGCATGGCTCAGCTTGGAAGCCTCTCCCTTTCCCCTCAGCATGGCTGGCTCAGGAATTCTGGGAGTTGAAGTCCATGAGTCATAAAAGAGCCAAGATTGGCGACCCCTGCACTAGGGAAATGCCGGTTTTCTATCAGGCGCCAATAAAAGTCTGATCCCATTTTTTTTAGTTATATCCGTTACCTTTTTTCTTTAGTTATATACAGTTACCTTTCTACCTATTCCTCTTTTCACAAACACATACATTCTCTTAGAGAGGAAATGAGCTAGAATTGTGCAGAGTACGAGAAGACAAGGCGGCAGCACATGTACTTCTAGAAAACAATGACTATGTAATTCAGCGGCCTTGTTTGAACAACCTCTAAACCCAATTCCGGGTATTTGTCTTGTCAAGTGATTCAGAAGAAACAGCCAGGATGTGGCTTGATAGAGACGGGGAGGGGCAATTTAGAGCTAGTTCTCAGTAACTTCAACTGCAATTGATGGGTTTATCGCACAAGCAGAAGTCTTGAAGGGAAGACTCTTTCCAACCTCTCTCGCTTGCTCCCCCCTCCCCCTAAACTCTCACTCCTGGTGATATCTACCTATATTAACAAACAAAATAAGGATCAAAGAAACAGCTTAGTTGTAACTGTCAGCCTAGGAAACTCAAGGACATCCAGTGGAATCATGAACAAGGGGCAAACATTATATATTACAGTTGAGGAATGTCACCTAGTTAATATTATCTGGTCATGTAATCGCAATCTGGGTGCTCGGTGACCAACCTGCAGTTATAATATTGTAGTATCTTGCAATTGTGCCCTTTCTTGACAGCTTCCCACAAGCAAAGTCAATGAGGAAGCTAGCAGGAAATCAGGGTGATGTGGGATCCTTGCGTAACAGTGGCAGCTGGGACTGCTAGAACTGCCATTGCTAAATGTTGTGGTTACTTAGCTTAATGCTTAATGACCACACTGCTTGGTGCTGGGGTTTCTATCCCAATTACCATTGTTAATTAAGGACTACCAGTATTAGAGTAGAAATGTCTTGAGAACAGAAGAACTACCTTGCAAGCTCAAACCAGAGCCTCCATTTTAGCCTACTATTTGTTTTATTTGGGCCAGCCAGAAAGCTCACAGCTTGGAAATGAAAACAGCTGGTGTCCAACAAAAGCCCATGCTTGGAGAAAAGGAAACAACTTAAGAGACATCGAAAACAATGAAAACAATCTCTCAGACACGCTGGGACAGGGTTGAGAAATCTGTAGCCTGGGAAATAGTTGCTTAATTACAGTTCCTAGCATTACACATTGATTAGAGTAAGTTTTGTCCATCAGCATACGGAGCATCACAGGCCTGCTTTGTTTAATGACTGCAACCTACATGTGTGTTAAGCTTGATTGAAAACAGCTTTAATGATTTGTGTGAGTTGGTCCCCAATCAGAGAGCTACTTATCCGTACGGTTGACTAGGAAATTGGTAGGAATAAAAAAAAAGCATCTATTTATAGATGATGAATTTTAAGTTTGCAGCTGGTAGGAAAAGGCTTCCTAGGGTAGATAGGGAGAGTCATAAAAATCTTCCCAGGAAAGATAGGGTGAAATAAGTCAATCAGGTTTGTTTCTTGACATGAATAATAGCAAGTGCGGCAAAATAAGCACTTCAGGGGTTGTTGTTTTTTTTCTGTCAATGCTGTACTTCTCCATGACCAGAATCAGAATTATGTGTCATTTCTGGCTCATATTTTGAAGTCTGCCTGCTGATGCTTCTCTCTGAAATGATTTTGGGAGACAGAACAGAATTATAGGGATGGTGGGGCTTCATAGAACAGAGCAGGAGGAGGGATAATAGCGATGCTTCTCTGATTTGCTTGAG